AAGAAGAAGAAAAGCAAGAAGGAAGACGAAGAAAGAAGAAGAAGAGAAGAAGAAGAGAAGAAGAAGAAGAAGAAGAAGAAGAAAGAAAAAGAAGAAGAAGAAGAATGAAGAAGAAGAAGAAAGAAGAAGAAAGAAGACAGAAGAGAAGGAAGAAGAAGCAGCAGCAGCAGAAGCAGAAGCAGAAAAAGAAGACAAAGAAAAAGAAGCAACAGTAGCAGCAGCATTATCAGTAGTAGCAGCAGTAACAGCAGCAGTAGCAACCGCAGGAGCAGCAGCAGTAGTAGTAGTGGTGGTAGTTGTAGTGGTAGTAGTAGTAGTAGTAGTAGTAGTAGAGTAGTAGTAGTAGTAGTAGTAGTAGTAGTAGTAGTAGTAGTAGTAGTAGTAGTGGCAGCAGCAGCAGCAGCAGCAGGATAAGTAGTTAGTAGTAGTAGTAGTAGTAGTAGTAGTAGTCAGTAGTATAGTAGTAGGAGGAGGAGGAGGAGTACGTAGTAGTAGTAGTTGTAGTAGTAGTAGTAGTAGTAGTAGTATGATAGTAGTTAGTAGTAGTAGTAGTAGTAGTAGTTAGTAGTAGTATGTAGTAGTAGTAGTAGTAGTCTTCTTCTTCTTCTTATTCTTTCGTTTTCGTTCGCCTGAAATAAGTTATCTATATCAGCAGTTTTGTCTCTTGTATAAATTTCACTGTCGTTGTTAGTTCATTCAGTGGTCCATAGAGTTTACGTTCCACTGTTGTTCTTTTCTGGCCAAAAGGGTTTGCCTTTAATGTGTCAAATTCGGTGCAGTCCTGGGAGTACATGCTCTGCGGTCTGGGGCACATTTCCACAGGTGCACATGGCTGATACACCTATCTTGAATTTTTGTGTACATGTGGTTACGTAATCGGTTGTGCCCTGTTCTGAGGCGGAAGATAATGACTTGTTCTGTGTCTGTCCATAATAAAATATGTCGTCTTGTGCTGGGGCTGGTGGTTTCCTGACGATTTAATGATTCTTTTCTTTTGGTGGTATGTGACTGTACATATGGCTGCTCCTATTTTTGCATCTTCCCCTGCCAGTTATCAGCTTTCTCATTTCCAGGCACTCCACAATGAGAACGGTATCCACTGGCATTACGACTCTTCGCTGAACGCTGAGTTGTGTCAGCAGTGTTTGCAATTCTGGTAGTTTCTAGACTGGAGTGCTTCAAGTACTGATTTAGCATCTGTAAGCATTACCACATACTGTGAGCCAAGGGTGGTATTTAGCAGTTCTCTGTAGCTATTTTAATAGCCTGGGTTTCTGCATCGTAGTTATGGCAGTAAAGTACTTCCCGGTTGGTACGCTGGACTTACGCTAGTACCATCTGGGAATTCGATGTACACTCCAGCAACCACCATTTCTAACTGCACTTTCTGCGGGACCCATCTGTATAGACTCTGATCCATTGTTCTTGTGGGTATTCTTCATCAATATAACGGAGGGTGGCCATTTTGCGTTGTACACTATCTTGCTCTTTCTTATGTCAAATATCCCTTTCACATTTGTCTGGATTTGTACCGTTAGTTTACATTTTTCTCTCCATGGGGTTTGTTCCGGAATACATTTAGTGGGCAGCCAATTTTCTGGAAGGTCAGGAGTTTGTCTACATATTCTTTTTGCTTGGTGTATAAAGCTGCTTCTTTTTACACCAGTCCCATAAGGCTAGGTTCTTAAATCTATTTTCCATCGGGGTGATCTGGACATACTGAGGAACTTTCAGCTTGTATTTGCAACTTTTGTATCTCTGCGTTCTCTCAGTGCCTGTGTTTTTCCCAGCTTTCTCCATTTCTAATATGGGGGTTGATTTCATCCCTCCTGTGATGACTCTGAGCGCTGATTTGCACTTTGTGTCTAACTCCTTTAATGTGTGTACTAGATGCTGAACACCATGCAGTTGACCCTATTCCAAGTGTGGAAGTATGCTCTGCTTTGTATACTTTATTGAGTATTTTCCATCTGCTCCCCATGTGGTTTCCACTTAGTTTTTCTTAGTATTGCTGTCTTCCTCCTGGCTTTGGTTGCTGCCTTGTTGATATGTTTTCTCCATGTCAACCTGTCATCAAATGTGACTCCTAGGTATGTGGGGCTCTTATCTCATCTCTCAGGGGTATTTCGTTTATTTGATGGTGCCGCCTTTTTGCTTTGGGGAGAGGGTGAATAGTGTGTGGTGCTACATTTGTCTGTGTTGATGCTGACACACCATCTATTGCCCCATGCCTCAAGTGCATTTGTAGCCTGCTGTAGTGTTTTTGTGGCTATCGTTGCATGTTCATTGGTGCACCACAGTACCAGGTCGTCGGCGTACATTGCCATTTTGATTCCATTTGGTATCTCAGCAACCAGATCGTTGATAAATAAAAGGAAAAGTGTGGGCGACAGGACACCACCTTGAGGGGACGCCTTGTCGCAGTAGAAAACTTTTTTACTTTTTAAAACCATCTACCTGTAACCCGGGCTCTTCTGTTATGTAGATATGCTTTAATCCAATGTACATTTTTCCATTTATTTTTATAGTTTCTCAATTTCTTCAAAAGCCCCTCCTTCCCCAAACCTTATCAAAAGCTTTCCTTAAATCTATCCATGCCGCGAGTACCAGTTTTCTTATCTTGAAAAGCATCATTCTATTTCTTGGGAGAGGTATGTTGTCTGGTCTTCCGTAGAATAGAACTTTCTAAAGCCCGCCTGCTGTGGTGTAATGATGTTTTCACTTTCAATGTACCACTGTAGTCTGAGGTTGGTGATGCGGCTCCATTGTTTTACAGAGACAACTTGTGAGGCTGATTGGTCTGTAGTTGGAGGCATTAGAACTGTCCTTTCCCAGGCTTTATGAGGGGTATCATAATTGCCTCTCTCCAGATCTGTGGAACATTCCCTGTTGCCCCAGCAAGCATTAAATATCTGTAAAAGCTTTGTGTTTGGCTACTTTTCCTAATGTTTCTGATCATTTCGTTTGATATACCATCTGCTCCTGGTGACTTCCGCATTTTCAGCTTTGAAATGGACAACTCCAGTTCATTAAGTGTAATTGGCACCTCTAGCGCCTCTGATGTTATTTCTTTCTGACTTCTAAATTGTGTCTTTTCTTGAAGTAGTAGTAGTAGTAGTAAAAGAAAGAAAAAGAAAAAGAAAAAGAAGAAGAAGAAGACTACCACTTAATTTTCTTGGGACATTTTCAGATAATTGTCATACGTATCATCGTAGTTATTATTACTACCACCGCCAGTGGGTCGCCACTGTCATACTATCGTTCCCGTCGTGTTGCCATTATCATACACATCACAATATTATTGACATTACTGTCATTACGCTGTGTACATGTATGTCTAAACATCGTTTGTATCAATCTAATGCGCGAACTCGTTTCGTAATGCTGAGGTGCCAGGTTTGATCCCAGCTGCGAGCGATTCGGCAGCAGGCCCCCTTGCAAACTACTGAACGTAAATTTACTTAGAAAACTTTAAATAATCGCAATATCCCCTCTCCCCCCCCCCCCCCCTTCAATCAATGCTTGGGTTCATTCGGCAACGTTCTGTGAATTACACGAAACTACCTTTTTTAGTATTCAGTGGAACCTCGCTTAACGAGCATAATTCGTTCCAGAATCATACTCGTTAAACGAAACACTCGTTGTGCAAAACAGTTTTGCTCATATAAATTAATGTAAAATACGTTAATGTCTTCCATGTAAAAAAAAAAAAATTCTCACAAAATGCTATGTGTAACGTTTATTCAAAGAAAATTATATACATATTGTTAAGGAGAGTGTTTTCTTTAAATGCGGAACGAACCCACCTGGAATGCGAATTCTATTTGCAGAAAGTCGAAATAATTATGATACATAGCTAATTTTTTTTTTTTTTTTTTTGTACTAGAAAAATATACAGAGACGTTGGTTTTTGCCGACGCTTCAAAATTTGGCTAAAATGCGACACAGCATCATTGAATAAATTTGCAGTGCGCATAGCAACTTCCTTATTAGCGTGATGCTTCTCAATGTAAGATGGAACAGTTTCCCACGCTTTCAGTATTTTTTTCTTTTTTTGCAAGAGAATTGTTGCTTTCCTGTTACCTCCTCCTCCTCCTTTGACAAACTGTCTTTTAAAACTTCGTGCTGTGAAACACAGTGCAACTTCATAAGCTCTTCGGTGGTTAGCTCTTGGCTGTGCTCTTCCACAAGCTCTTCGATATCACTGTTATCCACCTCCAATCACATGATAGTGCCAAAGACATAATCTCGTCCACTACAGGTTCCACAGGTACTGTCTCAAATCCCTCAAAGTCACACATCGACAACGCTTTCCGGCCAAAGCTTCTTCAAAGCAAAGTTATTGTTCTCTTGGTAACCCCTTCCCCCGCCTTGTCGATCATCTTGAGGCAGGCAACACTGTGAACGTGATTTTTCCAAAACTCTTTGAGAGTGAGGTTGGTCCCTTCAGTCACCTGAAAACAATGCTTGAAGAGTGCTTTAGTGTAGAGCTTCTTACAGTTAGAAATAACTTGCTGGTCAATAGGCTGGAGTACCGGAGTGTTGTTGGTAGGCGGAAACTGGATCTTGATGAACTTAAATTCTTCAGGGAGGTCAACCTGTATGCCTGGAGGATTCATGTACATATATCACAATATAACACAAGTTTGAGAAAATGTGTAATCACAAGCGACACTACGATGCTACTGGAACGAGTGCTAAACACAGACTGATGTAACATGCCCACAATTCGGGACTTCCCCTCTCCTCGCTACTCGTTATGCGAAACGTCGCTCGTTAAGCAAGTCATTCTTTTACCATTTGTTTTGCTCTTTATGCGAATTACTCGTTATGAGAGGTGCTCGTTAAGCGAGGTTCTACTGTATTTATTACACATTTGTTAGTGCATGCCATATTTGCTTCTGTGAGGTGAAAGAAAACTCTGCAAGACGGACCTCGCTGACATAGTACTCTTGTGCTGAATTTGTCGAACAGTCTCTTCAAAAACGTGTTTCTGCTACACGCAGTTCTTTATCACGGCTCGGGGGATTAGAAGGCCAATTCCTCGGGCAAAAGAGTTAAAACTCATTTTTCCTTACAGTTCGTGAGCAACAAACGAACCAAAAGAACCAGTCAACCCTTCAGACAGGCTTTTGAGACCTAATTTTCGACACTAGGCCTCTAGCGGAACCATCTAATGGAATAAATATGCTTTCGAAAGCATTTTAAACCTAGGATTGCTGGATTTGTAGCTGTGTGCACTAGCGATAACCGCATTTTTTTTTTCCTCTCTGAGGTATTAATTTTCACTGCATTTCTAGCCCACTGAAGTTTCTTCATTTCGTCCAACGATAAACAAACATTCGTAGACAAATTTGAGCACAAGCGTTCAGGAAAGGAAGAGAGTACAACCGACACGTGTATTTGGTTTTTTACTTTATCAAAACATGGAAAGTGGTTTCTCTCGAAAACTACAGGAGCGTCCTTGTTATTCTAACCAAACCGGAAATGGGAGATACAGATGTCGCAGTTGGAAATTTAAATATAGAGCATGTCTATTTCTGTAGCTGTTGCTATAGGTAGGGGTGTGCGCGTGTGAATGTGTGTGTGTGTGTGTGTGTGTGTGGGTATGGGTGTGAGTGTGTATGTGTGAAGGTGTGATCAGATTGTATGAGGGTGTTATATGTGAAGGTGTGAATGTATGATAGTGTGGGTATGTGTGTGTAAAGGTGTAATATGATGATCGTGTGAATGTTTGTGTGGGTGTATGTGTTTTAAGGTGTGATCAGATGAGTGTGCGGAATTGTATTTAAGTATATATGTGAAGGTGTGATGTGATAACTGCGTAAACGTTTGCATTGGTATATGTGTTAAGGTGTCATCGGAAAAGTGTGTGAATGTTTGTGCGGGTCTGTATGTTAAGGTCCGATCAGAAGAATGTAATGGGTGTATGTGTGCAGGTGTAATGTCTGCAACGTCAAAGTTATCTCTGTTTATCTACTTTTACACCACTAGGACATCACACAAGCGATAACCACCCGATGACACAATGTCCCAGAAACCGCGTTCAGCCATTAGACCATATTTATGGCCGGGCTATATTGCGGCCCCTGACAAGAGCCAGAGTAGGGCTTCAGATAACGAAAACTTGCACCCCACAAGGAGATGACTGTATAGTATCGAAGTTAAAACACAGATTGAGGGACTTGGTAGAGAATGTGTAGGTGGGCTATGGTATATGTCTTATGTTTATTTTGAGAGCTGATATTAGATATAGAAGTCACGCATATGGATAGTTTCTCTAATGAACTCTACCGACCTTCTTTCAACAGACTTTCCGTGACCCTCAGCTGTCCCATGGACCTGATCAACTATCCCTTCGACAAGCAGACCTGCCACCTGCTTATCATGAGCTGTAAGTTACCTTCCATTCACTACGCCATCACATCATGAACTGCAAGTTACCTCCCCTTTTTAGGCTGTTACATCATGAACTGCAAATACCTCCCCTTTTTGGTTTTTACATTTTGAACTGAACCACCATTTTTGTAAGTTTGGTTACCTTTTTTTGGACCATTACATCATGGCTGTAAGTTACCTCCCCTTTTTAGTGCATTAAATCATGAGCTGTAAGTTACCTCCCCTTTTTAGGCCAATACATCATGAACTGTGTTACCTCCCTTTTTTGGGCCATAACATCATGAGCTGTAAGTTACCTCCCCCCCCCCCCCCCCCCCCCCCCCCCACCCACTTTTTTCTGTTTCCAATTCTTACATCATCAGTTACCTATTTCATCGCTTTTTTTGCAATGTTCAAATTAGGAACTGTGAGATGTTATCCCACCTTATCTACAGCTTATCTTGCCTGGCCAGACAGGACTACAAAGACCTAAGCACATTCTGCAGACCTGCCCACTCTACCTACCTACCTTTGAAAAGAAGCCTGACCTTTTTTTTTTTTTGCGTGCAGAGCAAGCTATGTGGAATCATGAAGGACCTGCAGTTGACATGCAAGTTTCCTAGAGGCATCTCACCTCAGGGTCTGACCTGAGTATACGAAACCGAATGCAAAGAAGAAGAAGAGAACTGTAAATTGCCTTCACATTTTGACCACTTCGCATCGTCAGTTGTGTTTCTCTAGCAGCCTTTTGCCAACCGTAGGTAAACTGTGAACAGCGATGTAAAGTGGATTGGGGGAGGGTGGTCAGTTCTCCATTGGCTTGATATCTATGGCTCTATGACACCGCGAACCCAGGTCAATGTTTGTGGGGACCGACCGCATTCACAAACGCATATACACAAAGACACACCAGTAACAGGCACACTACATACACACGCACATACACACAACACACGCGCACACACACACACACACATAAGCATGAGCTTTAAGTCAACTCTCCGTTTTTTAAACATACACATTACAAACCTTCTGTACTGCCACTTTCCATAAACCCAGCGCTATCTTCCTATGTTGCTATATTCTTAAAATTAACTGTTGTTACCTTGCTGTCTTGCTTTAATTACATCATGAACTTTAAATTACCTCTCTATCGTAGCCTGGTCTCATGGGGAGTTGTACATTACATACCATCTCCTGCTGGCGATCTGGTATCTATGTGTTAGTTAACTGTAAGTTAGGTTTGTCATCATCATCATCCTCATCATCATCATAAACCACTTCTGCCGTTAAGCACTGTGGGGAGGAATCGTTTGCGATCCAGTGCACACTGGCTGCCATTGGCTATTGTCCCGCTATGAAGGCGTAACGTGTCTTTAATGTTGTAGAACAGTAATTTTCCGCTTGGTACTTGGTGTTCGAAAAAAAAAAAAACTTCGTGCCTCTTTCAACCGGCTCCTAGATTGAGCATTGATTATATAGTGGCTTTGTTTATGTGCTTGGAGTTTGCTCTCCAATGAAATATTTTCCTCCTTATTTGCGGCGTTTCCATACGCCTTAGCTTTTGCTCGGTGTTTGAGCTGTTATTTCGTATTTGTCACATCCGTCGTCGCCTGCCGCACTACTGCATCCTCTTGGAACGTCATCATATAGCACTCTGGTCAGCCCAAAACACGGCCCTTTTCAGGGTCCCCAATTTAACTTCTTTTTGTTAGCTTTTTGTTCGGCGGCCGTCGTCTTGCTCTTGTAGCTGATCTTCTAAGATGGAATTTGATCTTACACCATTCTGACGAGATGGCCAAACCCCTTATCAGCTGTTTCTCAATGAATCTAGTACAAGGTGTTGTGTAATTACATAAAACGGCAGAGAGTATTGCATTTGTTTAATCTGAAATGCAAGTGTGCTCTAAATGGAGTTTCGTAAATTTGTGAAATGTATTCAACCATTTCATGTGGCACGTTGTCATTTAATGCTCAGTTCCTAGCCTAACATCATCACGTGACTAACAACCGCGGCGGACTCATCTATTTTATGTTTGTGTATTCTAGACAAAGCAATAAGGTCTTACTGTGTTCGTAAATTGTTGCTGTGATTGTTATTCGACATTTGCTTCGTTAATATAAATTTCTGTAACCTATGGTGCCATTTCAATGGGTTGAAATAAATTCTGTCCGTATTCCATAGTCGTGGATTTCAAGCTGTACGATAGACATGGCCAATGAGACACCTTTTTTTGGGGGTTCCTAGTTGACCATGTATCTTAGTGCACTTGTATTCATGGCGAGGCGCAGACGCCGTCTGGAGGTGACAGGTTCAATTCCCGGCACGGTAACTATAGCTTTCGATATTTATGTTGTCTAGTGTGTTCTTCTATCTTTCTACTTCTTTCTATGAGGGCCGTTCACAATACTTTCTGTTACTTGATTAATTCATAATTTTTAATAGCTACACCTGGATTTTTTAAAGTTTCCTGGTCGACCGCTATGACTGACCCAGTTAGGCCCAATTAAGTAGTCGAGAGCAGACAGGCGTGTATGTACCTTGGTACATTTGTGAAAAATTCTTAGCTCTAACTAAAATTATCTGATTCTCTACAAAACAAACCTCGTAGTTCGTTCTTTCAAAGAGCTAATCCTAAAGTTACCATTGTTATAATTTCCACACATTGCCATTATTCTGTCTATGTCACGTACGATGGTGAAGACAGGAATGTTTCGAGCAGAGTAACAAGCTTTACAGGAAAGGTCACGGGTAATAAGCATACTTTGGATCTTTTCTCCAGGCTATGCCCGCGTGGTAGGCAATGAACAGGCATACAGATTGGCTGGGTCTGCACCCCTGGGTGGTGAATTAATATATGGCATGGCAGATGGTAGTCTGGTAGTCTTAGTTTCAGCATCATAGCAAACGGGTCACCCCATCTTTACTTCCGCTCCTGTGCCAACGAAAAACACACAGAATGTTTATCATAGTCCCTTGTGGGAAGATTGAAAGACTGCTGTCTCAGCATATCTAGCATACACACGCATTAAAGCATACGGTAGCCATCCGAAATGTACAATATATATATATATATAAATAATTGCATCTGAGAAACTATACAATATATTTTTAGGCCCCCGCAGACTATGAGGCCCTTAAATTGAAGCTTAATTAACTTATGTCTAAATCTAGCACGTTATGTCCGACACACACACACACACACACACACACACACAGACACACACACACACATAAATATATAAAAAAATTGCATCTGAGAAACTATACAATATATTTTTAGGCCCCCAGACTATGAGGCCCTTAAATTAAAGCCTTATCAACTTATGTCTAAATCTAGCACGTTATGTCCGACACACACACACACGCATATTAAATCATATAATCACACCTATTCTTGATTGATTGATTTATTGACTGATTGGCTTTCGTATCGCTTATTTTCAGTTGGCTACTCCGACGACGACATTATACTGGAGTGGACCAATGCTACTGAACCCGTGGGTGGGCTCGACCCCAATGCTAAGCCGATTCTATTGGACGAGCAAATAGTTTTGCCCCAGTTTGAGGTGAAGCAGGTTCTAGCCAGCACATGTAATAAACGCTATCACCAAAAGATGGGTATGGACACATATACTTTTATAGCACTTCACATATTATGATCTCATACGGCACATACACATATTTATACATCAGTTTGCTGGTTATTTTGATAGATTATATCTGTGAAGTTATCTCATACTGCAAATACACGTACTTACTTAAATAACAGTCCATAAATTATTTCAGTTGATACGCTTTCATATAGCATATACATATTTTGTAACAGTTCATGAATAATTTCGGTAGGTACGATCTTGTATAACACATACATCTACGTACTTGTATAATAGTTCAATAATCATTTGGGTAGACACAATTTGTATAGCACACACACACACACACACACACACACACATATATATATATATTATATATATATATATATATATATATATAGTCTCCGTGTGTAAATATCTGTGTATGTCTCTGTGTGTATTGTCTCTGGGTGTGTCTACGTATGTGTGTCTGTTTGTGTGCCGTGTGTATATATGTCTGCGTATGTGTCTGCGTGTGTGTGTCTGTGGTTGTGTTTCTGCGTGTGTATACGTCTGCGTGAGCATCAGTGCCTGTCTGTGTGTGAGTGTTTGTCTGCGATTGTGTGTGTGTTTGTGTGTCTGCGAGTGTGTCTGTGTGCGTGTATTTGTGTTTTTTGTGTATGTGTCTGTGTGTGTTTGTGCTCGTGTATGTGTGTGTGTGTCCTCGTGTGTGAGTCCGAGTGTGTGTGTCTGCGGGTTTGTGTCGCATTTGTGTGTCTTTGTATGTGTATCTGTGTGCGTGTTTGGGTATGTGCGTGTATGTCTGTGTGTGTGTCTGCATTTGTTTCTGTGAGTTTGTCTGTGTGTGCATGTGTGTATCAGTATATATGTGTGTGGAATGTGCGTGTTTGTGTGGGTAGGTAGGTATGCATGTGGGTGAATGGGGTGTTCATGTGTGTTTTTGAAGGAATTTGGGTGTGTATATATGCGTGTTTAAGTGAGTGGGTAGGCATGTGTGTGTGTGTGTGTGTGTGCGTGTGAAAGTGTGTGCATGCATTTTACCACCCATGCTTTTGAGTGTTTTTTAATATTTTTCTTGATATTCATAATATAAATATTATCATTTGAATATAACATGCTTATTGATAAAATACAACTGTGGTGTGAATGGCGGATGTTTGGAAGGGCCGAATGTAAAACGGGCCTGCGTGTCCAATTTGTGACCCTTTAAAAATAAACTTTGTTCGTTCGTTCGTTCATACACGTACGTGCTGTTCATAAATCATTTCTGCAGACATATCTTGTATAACACATACACATATTTACCTATATAACAGTTCATGAATCATTTCTGCAGACACGATCTTGTATAACACATACACGTATTTACCTTTATAACAGTTCATGAATCATTTCGTTAGATCCCCGTGTGGGTTCCAGGCCCTATTATAGGAAAACAAGAATAGACCCATTGCCAACCCAAAAGCTTGTTTTAAAAGTCGACTAATGGGAGCTTCCTTCAAAGTCGGAGTGCGTCTGCCTGAGAGGCAAGGAACCAAAAGTCTGCATATAAATTAGTCAGATCTGTCAAACGGATGCACACGCAACACTCAAGTTCTGGAACAGGACAGCAGTCCAGAAGTGGACGAACAATCAGAACTTTCCACCAGAGTTTACAGCCGGTGAACGCGAAGAAGAAGAAAATTTCGTTAGACACGATCTGGTATAGCACAGACACATAATTACTCATATAACAGTTCATGAATCATTTCGGTACACACATACATGTAAATCTTTAGCCGACGGTTGCATTTTTAGATATTTGATATTTGAAGTACACGTACTGGGACAGTCATGCTTTAGCGTCCAGCTTGTTATAGATTGTTGACTGTGTTCTATTAACGATGGATTTGTTGGCCGTGTTCTAGTTTTGTTGACATAATAGTGAGGCCTGCTGAAGAGTGTTTGCCCGTGTTCATGCTTGTAGCGTAGTGAGCATGCCTGGGAGTGTTTGCCGTGTTCTAGATTGTTGACTGTGTTCTATAATAGTGAGCCTGCCTTAGAGTGTTTGCCGTGTTCTAGATTGTTGACTCTCTCTATCTCTCTTCTGCCTTTCTATCACCCAATGGAGCATAGGCCCTCAACCAACTCACACCAAGTCGTTCTATCCTTCGCCATTGCATGGAGCTCTCCCCATGTCCTTCCTATCTTTCTAACTTAATTCTCCAGCTCTCTTCTCCATTTTTTTTTTTTGAGCCTTCCTTTATTCTTATGCCCCTGTGGGTTCCAATGCAAAAACATTCTAGTTATGTTGTTCTCCTGTTTTCTCAGTGTGTGTCCTAACCAATACTAGAGTCTTTTCCTCACCTCTTGGTCCACTGGAGCCTGTTCAGTTCTCTCCCAAAGTTCTACATCAGTTATTCTATCATACCATTTAATTCCCTCTAATATGCGCAGTCACCAGTTAGTTAATGTTTTTAATTTATTAATAATTGCCTAGTTGTTCCCCGTGTTTCCGCCCCATACAAAAGTACTGATTTGACATTCTTCTTCTCTTTTTCTTCAGCATGCCTTTCCCTTGAGGTTCATTGCTGCAGATATCACCAGCCTCCATTCATCTCTCTGGCCAGCCTTTTATTTCCAGTTGGTAACACCAAGTGTTTGCAGGTCTGTCTGGATATTATATTTCCATCGTCGTCTTGGTCTCCCTCGTGGTTTACGACCATTCATCTCCCTGGTGTATACAGTTTTTACTTCTCTGTCATCTGACATTCTTGCAATATGCCCCAACCATTTCTGTCTATTAGCTCTCATGATGCCAGTGATCAGTGGTGATTTAAACATATTATGAATTTCGTTGTTGCTTCTCACTCTCCATTCACCGCTTTTTGCATCTTTGATGGGTCCAAAGATTCATCGTAAAACTGTTTTCGAAAACCTGAAATAAGGCTTCATCTCAATAAGGTTGTGCTCCAAGTTTCAGAGCCTCACAACACGACTGGTACTATTAACGTTTGAATATATTTCGATCTTGGTGTTGCGAGACATAAGAATTAAAACATTTTAGTTTAGTATTTCTTTTAATGTCTTTTGACCTCCACAAATTCTCTAGTGCTATGAAAGCTCCTCTTGCCTTGTGTATTCTCATTTTAATATCTCTATCAGCTCCTCCATATTTATCAATATTACTGCCAAAATAGGTGTATGACTCTAAGTATTGGAGCGGGGTGCCATTAAGAGAAACCACATTACTATTTGCCTGATTTATTCTCATTATCTTTGTCTTTCCTTTATGGATTTTCAGACCTAGCTGCTATGATCTCGCATTAAGTATATTTAATTTATCTTGCATCTGATTCTGTGAATGGGACAGAAGAGAAATATCATCAGCAAAGTCCAGATCATCAAGCTGTTTTGTAGGGGTCCACCGAATTCCATTCTTGGTGTTAGCAGTTACTGTTTTCATAGTCCAGTCTATAGCCAGTGAAAATAAGAGAGCGACAAACTATTGTTGACTGGGTCCTAGAATACTGACCACATTCTAGAGTGTTTACCATTTTACAGATGGCTGACTATGTCCTAGAATATTGACATAACCTAGAGTGTTTATCGTGTTATAGATTGTTGACTATGCCATATATTTTGTGTGTGTGTGTTGTGTGTGTTGTGTGTCTGAATATGGGTGTGTGTTAAATCTTCCTTCCTTTTTTTCTTTCTTTTGGACCAGGTAACCACAGTTGCCTGCAGGCTGAGTTCCACATGGCTAGGAACGTCTGGTTCTACATGGTACAGATGTACGTGCCCAGCATCCTAATCGTAATGCTGTCCTGGATCTCCTTCTGGCTGACCGTCAACTCCGTGCCTGGGCGCATTTCCCTGGGCCTGCTCACCGTCCTCACGATGACCACACAGAGCTCCAGTACGTGACCCTGTTCTTGATCTCTAATTACTGCAGACAAGACTGCTATATGGAGAGCCGCTGTGGTAAAGCGACTAGACGCTCTCCTGTGGATCAAAAGGTCGTGGATTCGGTTCCTGGCGGATACTGACTTATTTTGTCTCCATAAACGACCTTGGCTCTCAGGTCGACCCAGCCTTGAATGGGTACCAGGTACAGTCCTTTAAAGTAAAGGCGGTCAGTGTGATACTGACCACATCACGCACTGAGTGCTGATTGGTCTATGAAATATAGATCTACCCCTATATGCCCAAAAAATCCTGAAGGCATAGTAAAGGGGTCCTTGGACACAAACATGATAAATATACTGTAGATTTTAATCTAGCTAAAATCGATGTCAAATAAGCAGAAATCTCGGTCACATCTAGGTCAAATAATCAGTTAAAGTAGATTAAATAACCAGCAAATCTCGGTCAAGAAACCAGCAAATCTCGGTCAAAAAACCAGCACAAGTAACCTCATTCTAGACTCCTTTATGACATATACATCATGAGAATGAGATCAAGAAGCTAACCAAACAAGAAGTCAAATTGTACCTGTTTGTACGCATCCTCAAGATAAATAGAAGCAGCACAATTTTCCCTGCGTGACTGAAATCCTTCATAAACACCACATGCAAAAATCGCTGCAGCCCCTAGGACTCTCTGTTTTATTGATATCCTCCCAGGGTGGGTGGAATGAGGCCTAACTGCTCAAAATGAGATGATATATTTCTTTGCAACTATCTTTTCCAACAGCCTGTCAATTGTATTCTGCATTATGATTACACGATAGCCTTGTATTGTTGTGTGATCTTTACCAGGTTTCGGCAAAGCTATCAGGTATCTATGCTGCCACTCTTTCTGTGACCGTCGCACGTTCAGTGTTGCTGTTGTAGATGCCAGTTCTTCCAACTCTTTATCATGCAGCTGAGAAATATCTCCATAGCGGATGCCATCTGGACCTGGTGCACTTTTCTGTTCTGCCTTATACGGCCTTGATTTCACCCACACGTTCACAATCTTGTTTCCTCCATGTCCTGGACACTACAAATGTCTGGTAATTTGGCGACTCATTATGTCTTTTTGGTCACTCTGGTTGAAGTA